CTTACTAAGCAGGGGCAAAACTGCTTAATAAACAAAGCAGTTTACTAAGTCAATGCCATTAGCATGAGCAAATCTCAAATTTGAGGGGGGAAAAAGCTAAGAAGAACCCTCAGGGGTGACCTTGTTCATTTTCTCCCCCAAAAGTGTGAGCTATTTTTGTGATATCCCTACAATGCCCTGCCCAGCCCTTGTCCCTGATGAAACAATCTGACCTTCTGATGTGATCTAATCCATTTCCAGGCAGCACTAATTATCATATAGTTATTCTTTCCAAGGAACAGAAATTGGAATCTCACAATTTCTACTTTTCAGTTTTACTTCTGCTCACGGGTGTCAAAATAAGGATAGCTTGTTTTGTTTTTTTGTTTGTTCGTTTTGCCCATTTTTTGGTTATACTTCATGGTGATATCTAACATCTGTTCCTGAGTTGTAAATGGGAGTTCAAAATACATCATCTGTGAGGAAAGCAGCCCGGCAGTATGTTATGTAAGTCCATTTTTGTTGCATATCTATTTAATAACATTCATGTATTCATGGGATCTTTTTTTTTTTTAAATTTCAAGATCCCAAAGAACGAGTCATCTGTAAATGTGGGAATTTTATTTTGCACTACATGTACCATAGCAGCATATCTATGCTATTGGTGAGTTCCTACTTATCCCTAAAGTAGACATGAAGGCGGGCCAGTCACTTTTAGGCTCAGTCTTAGAATGCCCTGGCTCTGGTATGCCACAGGATTGTCATAACCTCAAACTTTAGCCTGCTCTTTTAAGGCAAATGTGTAAGGAAAAAACAATATTCTGAAAATAACCTCCTTTGGTATAAGAAGTTTATTCAGAAAATCACACAGGTCAATAGGGCTAATAAGTTTAAAGACCTTCACACTCTAGGGCATATAGATCTAAGTAAAACATAGTCTGTTTTCAAAGCTACAGGTGCAGAGAAGGAAAAAAAAACCAAGAAAGCTTAAGTTGCTCTCATACATTAATTATATTCAGGAAACCCCTAAGCAAGCCAGACAACTTTTTTGAACATGGTATCTTGACTATCCTGAGGCTAAAGACAAACAAGGAAAAAAAAAAAAAGAAAAACCAAACCAAAACAAACCAACAAAAATCCCACCTTAACAAACACTGAGTTTTAGTGACAGATTTGTTTCCCTGCGGAGGTGCGGAGCAGCAGTGCAGAAGCATGCTTCCCGCACATTCTAGGGCTGCTCATTGCAGTTAAAGGACCCCACATTTCTCTGTCAGAGAAGGACAGGCTGGAGCAGTGTGGGATTGGATTGAAACTGGAGGTGATGGTATAAGCCAGGCTTCTCAGCTTCAGCATTATTGCCATGTAGGTTAGATAATTCTTTGTGAGGGGGCTGTCCCGTGTTTTGTAGGACATTTAGCAGTATCTGTGGCTTTTATGCACAAGATGTGAGTAGCAACCCCCTCCCCAATTGGGACAACCAAAAATCTCTCCAGATATGGTCAAATGTCCCCTGGGAGCAAAACTGTTTCCTCTATGGAGAATCACCGGTATAAGCTAATGGTTTATAATATATGGTTTATAATATATATATGATATATTATAAAAATATATAATATAACGGTTTATAATATATGTGTGTGTGTGTATGTATGTGAGTGCACATTCACATATTTCCTAGCTCTGTCTCTTGAGAGAACATGGCAGAAATGACACCTTAGTCACAGTGACTACTTCTAGCACCCAGAGGTTGGGTTCTACTACCATTCTTGACTAAAAAGAGCCAGAGCTTTTTGGGGAAATGGCTTCCTTCCAGGGCTGGGGCTGGGACAACGTAAGATGAGCCTGCACTATCTCGTTATGTAAGAAAGTAAGGAAAAGCTCAAAAATTGATGGGACACGTCAAACTGACACAGAGGTTTGCTTGAAGGTGTTCCCTCTGACCACATCTGGGCAACAAATTCGGAAAATCTGAGCAGCACAATGAATAATAATGGAATAAAATAAGAATCCACAATCCATACTAAATAAACAAATAAATGAGAGAGAGGAGAAAAAGGCTCTTTCTTACTCAACTAATGAATCTCAGCCTAAATGAGTGCAGAATAACACTGATTCCATCATTAGAAGATCACACAGGCTGGTAATAATTGATTCAGGCAAGAATAATCCAATGGATGCTAAAATCTAGTGGGTGAAAGTGGGTGAGTAACAGTATGTTTACATCTTAAAATTTTAGGGAAGCCATCGGCTGAGGAGTGTATGATTGTCTTCTTGTATAAATGCTTTTACTGAAAGATTGAGAGAAAGAGGTCTAAATTATGGTACAATCCAGATTCAAATGAGCACATATTATACGGAACATCTATGCTTGGTGAAATAAATATTTGTTAAATGAATGAATAATATACCCCCATTAAATATGACATTTGGCTGTTTCTGTAATATAAGAATCATAAAGGTGCCACTGTGACATATGAGCAAGGCAGTGGGCTATGATTTTCTTAGCCTAAATAAATTTTTTTATCGGCAGAGAAATTTTAAATGTTGAGCCTTCAACTATACATATAATTTAGAGTTTTGATGCTGAAAAAAACCCACCCATTTCTACTAGTAGGAAAAGGAAGTCAAGTTTGAATTATCCCACTGTATTCATAGATTCTTTTAATATGAAGTCCCATTACAGTAAACTGATAGGGACAAGCAAGTGAACTTATTAAAGAATACAAGTTGTAACATGTGCATTACACATCATATTATTAACCGGCATGATTTTTTTTAAAAAGTAATATGGAATCATTTAGATTTTTGTTGACTCAAACACCAGTAAAAGCATTCCTCCCTATTACGATAGTTTTCACAAAGTTGAAAAGATCTGATTTGCACGGGAGTCTTGTAAAACAAAAGACCCAGAAGACGTACTTGCTTAGGAATTTCCCCCTCCTACATGGGCTGCCCCACTGTTTGCAGTTTTTCTATGTTTTATGAAACTTAGCAGCTCACATTCCTGCCCTCCCCATCCACACATTTTGCTGTTTCTTTCTTCTGCTTCTTCATGGGGTTCTGTTTGCACCACTGTTTTCCTTTTGCATGTGAATCTAGATCAACGCCTGGTGCTCAACACATTCCATGAACTCATCTGACTACAACACCACACTCACATTTTTTCATTTTTAAACAGCGAGGTATCAGGTTTGGGGAACAAGACGCTGGCTGTTCAGTTGCTGCCAGGTAGATGTTCCCAGGCATCTTTCCTTGGAGGAGCATTGGAACATAGAGACATAGTCTCACTGCACTTCTCATGCTAAAAGTTTACTAGGCACCTTAAAAATATTCCTACTAAGGCAAGAAAGGAGGTTGGAAATATATGCTGTAATTTATTGATAATTTTCAGCACAAATGAAGAGAAAAGTAAAGAAGATACACTGATAATAATAATAATAATTTAATAACAATGATGATAATAACTTTTGCCTTGTATAGAGACCTTACTATGTGCCAGACATGGTTCCAAATACTTCAAATGCATTAGCTCATTTAATCTTGACAATAGCAGAGTAGGCACTATTATGCCCCCATTTACAGATGAAGAAATTGAGCCACAAAGAAGTAACTTGTTCAAAGTACAAAAGTTGTGAAGACACAGAACCTGGGCTAAACACACGCAGTTTGGGCCAGGAGTGCCGGCCTTCACCCACCTTGCTGAATTTATGTGCCTTGCAATTTCCATGCAAAATTTTCTTCTGTCACCTTTTTGGATAATTTCATTTTTAGACAGAATGAACTCAGAGTCAAGTAAGGTTGTTTACCTAGTTTAATCACCCTCTCAGCCAAGACATCGGAGTCTCAGGTTATCAAGGTATAGTGGTGTATTATCCTCATAGATCTGCAATTGTATTGGAAATAAGTTGACAAAGCAAATTCCACAGTCTTTGAGCAATCTAGCAGTGGCTTTAGGTCACTGCATCTGTAGCAGAAGAGAGAAGCCTCCCCCTGTGGGGTTGAGGTTTGTGGTTCAAAAATCAAAGCTACCTTTGTGGTTTTGTAAGTGCAAACACAGATGGCAACGTTCAGAAGTGCTCTCCTAAATCATGTCTCACCGGATCATAACATTCAGGAGGCAGCAAGAAGCCTGGTCGTGTGTCACCGGGGGACATCTCCCAGAACCTGTGCGTGTGTGCAGAGAGAGGCTCTATGGATTTCCCTCTGGGGGCAGATGAAGCCACATAAACATGTTCCATCCCTAAGATGTGTGTATTTTATCAGGAGAAACAGTGATACATGCCAAATTTATTTCTCTCAACTGAACTTTAAATTCTATGCTGTGGATTTTTGTCGTCTACCCATGAGCAAAACTGTCTTGTGTTCGTCAAAGACTTTCTCAAAAAAATAGGGTGAGGAACATTTCATAGATAAATATTTGTGCACATTCTATTTTTTTTCTTAGAATGAATTACCTAGAAGTGGAATGAGGGTGATATTTTATATGCTTTGTGGGCCACACGAACTTCTTTTGCGAACTATCTGCTGTGAACACTTTCTTTTCTATTTTTCTACCGACTTATATAAAACTCCATTTTAATGACAGCAACAGTAAGCACAACTTATCAAGTAGCTGCCATGTGCCTGGCACTGTGCTAAGCCCACTTCTATCACACACGTGGCAAATATTTGCCCAGGTGGTCTATGTTTTAAAATATTCTCCTATGAAATCAGCACTTCTATTTCTTGAGACAGTTTTTGGAGCAGTCTGTTTTAGAAGTCTGTATTAGTTCATTTTTAGCATTTAACATCTTGAGTGGAGGACTGCGTAGGCTGCCCCTAAGTTTGTGGAGCTCTGAGTGAGTCCTTCAATAGGAAGGGTGCCAGGTCCCAGCCTGAGGGCGCATACGCTGGTCACTACCCTGGACACTGTGACCTGGAACTGTTGTGGCGACCTCAGAATTAGGTTGTCGGTGCTCTGTGGGCATCCCTCTGCGCCTGCTCTTCTTTGGATCCCAAAGAGACAGAAACTTGAGGGTCCACATGCTGAGGAACACTGATGCCACCTTCTAGTGACACTAAAACATGGTGTAACAATGGTCCAGAGAGCTCTTGGACACTTATCTAAGCACCTTTTGGAAACTGCACAGTGTTATGGTTGAGGAAGAACAGCAACAACCCACTAGCCCTCAAAATATCATGAGACAGAGAGATGCTTCTCTTGGGTGGTTTTGGAAACTATCTACCCTGTTGCCATGGTTATGAGACAAAAGCTGGTCTAAAATGGCTCCTATGTTAGCGTCTGGGCAGGGCCCTAACCACCCGTCTCCATCATTTTCTCTACTGCCTACTCCTTCCTCTCCTCCCAGAGAGGGCCGTAAGGACACTGCATGGCTTCTGGTATAGTCACTGCGCCGAGCTTAAGGTTGGGCCAGCTCCACGAATTGCTCCTGCCTCCACCTGCTCACTCTGCACAGAGATGCTGTTGCCTGAGCTCCCTTCACCTTCTCTCTGACACCTGGCTGGCTGTCACTGCCTTTCCCTGCATGCAGAGGTAAGACCCAGCCTTTGGCTTGGGAGTTGGGGTTGAAACAGGCAAAAGCAGTCTCTGCATCCACTTTGGCTCTGCCTCATTGGGCTGGTGGAACTCGGGCAGCAGCTCTTCACTCAGTCCTGCTCTGTTCCCCAGGTCTGTGTCTGGGGATGAGGAGTTACCTGCTTCCTCTCTGGGCAGGAGTCTTCCTCGGAGACTGCTGCAGAGGGGCCTTGGGTGGACAATGGTCACACTATAGTTTTCGAATCTGAATATGCTTTGGAATGAATCAGGATGCTTGTTAAATCTGGATTCCTAGGCCCTCTTTGTCTTTGTCTCAATAGGATGGGGTAGGGCCTGAGAGTCTGTGTTTGTAATTAATGAATTACTTATTGATTATTTAGTTAAGCTCAAGGTAATTCTAATGCAGTCTGTCTGGCATTTGGAAAGCAATGACTTTGGGCAGAATTGGAATATTTGCTTGTCCTGGCCCAAACCATCTAAGAATGCATCACTTTCAATTTCCTCCTTCCCACAAATCTGAGCGGCAGTTGAGTGCTACTTTTGGACAAAAAAAATATTTTTTAAAATGTAAGGTAATTGTGGTAATAATTAATACCAGTTAAAGCAGACTGCTTTTTGCAAGAATAGCCTGTAAATATAGCATCCAAGAAGGCATTTGGGAGTTCGCATTTGTCTTCCTACACTATCTCGGCCTCAGCGGTGACTCATCGCCCTCACCCAGCAACCGCAAGGTTGATTAACCTGCAGTCCTCCAGCTTGCGCACCCTCAGGCGTGCGTCCTCGGTCTCTTGTTCCCCTGTCCTTGCTCTTACCTGCACTGCTCCCATAACGAGGGCTGCTGTGGCAGATTCCGAACTCCCACAGCCCCAGTAACAGAAGTGAAAAGGTTCTGTAAGAGTGTCTTGTCCAAAATATACTTAAACCTCCTAATAAGGCTCCTTTTAAACTCACCCACATGGTTGACTCTCAGGTGTATTGACATCCATTTGGGAAGGGCCATTTGAAAGCCAGTGGGCAGACTGAGGCTGTCACGGCAGCTTGAGGTTAGTGGGTGAGCGAATGGATACAGCCCAAAGCAAAGAACTCATGACATCCCACCTCCCACCTTTTTGACTGCAGGAGTCATAAAGTTCCCTTGAGCATTTTTCTCCTCTGGAGACCTAGCCAGAGGAGAAAAACAGCCAGTGACATCAACGAAAAGTGCCTCCAATGCATCTTCGGAAGCTCAGTGGCAGATGGGAACAACCCCCACAAGGTTTGTGCCAGAATGAAGCTGTAATACCAGCCTCTAAGATGGAATGCTACAGAAATACCCTGGGGACAGCTCAGGCCCTGTTCGCCAGTAGAAGCCAAATCCTCCACTCTTGGGCTTCCCACGTGGTGAAAGGGGGTGTGGCTGATGACCAGGCGAAATTATGAAAAGTGACAAGGGCAGCAGGGACAGAGACACATTTGGAGGAGACTGGTCTAATCTTTGTTCAGCCTATCACAACAATAAAAATCAGAGTCAAGGGCACAGCTGAAACATGAACAGGACCAATCAACAAAAATCACTTTAGAAGTGACTTCCGTTCACCCTAAAGTCTCACTCCATATCCATTTGACGGCTTGGTGCCAGGTACTACCTGGCCAGAAATATAAAAACACTAAATCAATTGCTGCATAGGTCATTGGAAGGAAAAAAAATGAAAGATAGAAAAAATCAGATTCAGCTTAGAAAATATGCACCTGGGATATATATATATATATATATATATATATATATATATATATGGCAAGCTGGGACCAGCCTGATTCCTGTTGCAAGAGCACTCAAAGGGCAGACTGGGTAAGGGGAGGTGACAGAAGTTAGGCATTCAGTCTGCTGTCCAAGTGAGCTGAGCAACATGAAAACACATTTGACCTTGGGAGCTGGAGTGGGTTCAAGATAGTGGATCACTGGGTGATGCATTGCACTTGGGAATTCATTCATTTATGCAACTGACACTCTATGGACTAGTCTTCTAACTTCAGAGGCTGTGCCTCTCCCAAGTCACCAACCTGTCTCTGTTACTCTTTAAGGCATTCATTGAACTAAGGGCTAAAGACAAAATGAGAGGAAAATTCAGATGGCCTCTGCCTTCCTGTAGCTGATAGTGTGTTAGGAAAATGAACATGAATAAAATAATCACCGAATATGCTGCAGCAGGATCAGAATTGATACTGACAATGCAGGTTGCAGAAATGGAATGGTCTCTGTTTTTTCATATCTGAACTCCATTTGTTCTTAAATGCCTCATTTCTGCCAAGGAGTTTAAGGGATCTTTTTCATAACCTTTTTGGTAATAAGTCAATTGAAAAATCAAGCTTGTTTGATTCATAGTTTATTGATTAATGAAAAAACTGTCCCCTGTTCCCTCCATTCTTCCTCTCTAGGTTGCATCTGGGGGCAGGACAAATAACAGCAGCTTTCTGGCTGTCTATTGCTTTTTCTGAAAGCCTGGCCCTCCTGGTAGTTGGGCGCTGGTCTTAACAACCCTTGCACCCCGTCCCCTCTAGGGGAGGAACTGATGACATGTGGGAATGGTCCCCCACTGGTTGGGGACCTGCCCGCCATTCAGACAGAATTGAGGGGATCCAAAGAAGGGTAGGTTAGGCTAAAAGGAGAGGGCCTGATCCAGTGTTTTCTGGAAGCCACAGTGTTACAGAAAAATTGGTAGATTCATCAAAATGATATTCTTTTAAAAAGAAGTGGGATCTTCCTGCACGGTGTCCAGTCTCCTACAGGCACACACTAGTCTAAGGACATCAGGGGTTGCTGAATGTTGGGTCACTTGGTCTCATTAGAAGCAGCCGGTGGGCTCTTAGACACTAACTGGTGGTTCTGACCCTCACATCGTACTCAGTAGGGAGCAGCTGTGCAAGGAGGGTGATCTTGCTGGGTAGATCCTTTAGGTAAGCATACGTTGATTTAGTGACTTTGTCTAGTCACTTAAACATGGAACTGCATTTACTAAAAAGACATGATGACAAAGTATGTGCATTTCCATTAAAGATTTCCTCATTCATTTTAATTAGTGACCACAGCCACAAAAGTGTAAAACTGCAGATGTGTGAATTACCCCAAAGGTTGTGGGACTGAAAAGAATGTTTTCAAGGTCTGTATGGTAGACTAGCCAGAAGGCTCCCAGGAAAGAGGAGATGCTCCAGAGGAGACCTGCAAAGATGCGTTAGTTCAAAGTCATAATTATTGACTCATTCATTCCTTCATTCATTCAGTAAGTGTTTAAATATACAGGGGCTTCTGGTATATGGTCATGATATGACCATATATATGGTCAGATATGGTCCAGATATGGTCTGATATGCTGGTGTAGATGGATTGATGAAGGGATGTATATATGTATGAGTGAATGTATATGAATGGATGGAGAGAGACCGGGGTGGGGAGAGAGAGAGAGAGAGAATGTTAGGCATTTTGGGGAAGGAGTAGTCTCTGCCTTCAAAACATTTACAGACCTACTGGTGACATAATACATATGCACAGAGCAAAATAATATTTTTGAATTAAGAGTAATGCCAGACAGCAGTACAAAAGATCTCTCATGCTATCTATGTCATGATTTAGTGCCAAACAGAGGTCAAGGGAAGCAGAAATGACTGATTGGTGGAGGCACAGGCAGGGCAGGTCCTAAGAAGAGCCGTGCAGTGGAATAAAATGTGCATAGGTATCGAAGAGAAAAAGTGTCCATGGAGCGGTGACTATCAGCCTGGCTGGAGGGAGGTGGCCTTTTCAAAAGAAGCATGAGGCAGTCTAATGCAGGATCAACAGCACAGGTTTTAGAAGCAGGCAGTTCTGAAGTCAAACCCCTGTTCCATTTCTGAGTACTGTGTACCTTTGAGTGGTGACTCAACCTTGCTGTGCCTCAGGTTTTTTTAATCTTGAAATTGGAACAAAGACATCTTAAGCTCCTGCAGGGACTGTGAGAAAGAATACGTACTTGTTTGCCATAGACTAAGCCCTCAGCAAATGCCTGAGGACCATGCTAGTCCCCTTCCTCTTGTATATAGTGCTTCATAACACATAAAACACTTCCACAGACACTAGCTCCTTTGGCCCTCACTACAACTTTGTGGGATGGATAAAGCAGGTATAAATATCCATGAGATTTCTACTATACCACCTTTCCTTAGGGAATAGTGAAAAATAAAGAAATAGAAAAATACACTATTGTTAGTTCAAACAAAGACTTGAGGATTAGTTAAGGTGTTGGGATTTTAATTCAATAGGTAATAGGATACAAATGAACACTATAAGTCAGAAAACTGAAACAATATCAGTGTTTTAAGAACGTTCATTTGGCAGTGGTAGGCAAATTATATTGAGAAGAATTTATGCAAGACTGCCTCAAAGGCAAGTGTTTTGGGTGTTGCTTCTTATAGACGTATAAGTTGACTACACCCAATGGTGGACTGCTCATACAATTTGAAACCATTTCCTCATCACTAACAAGACGTGCAGTGGTCTACCTCTTGTTCTTGCCCACCTCTTCTTCCTTTGCAAAGTGACAATAATGGTAATGACAGTAATACGACATAATACCTACAGAGTCTGAGTACCAACAGTACATCAGGACTGTGTATATCTGGTAAAACCGAATCCTCGAAATATTGCAGCTGAGGACCATCATGACTGCGACATGTCACATCAGATAATTGGCCGGCGTTGTAACAGAGCTAGTGCTGAGAATATGGATTTGAACCCAGCTCCCATTCCAAACTCCAGGCCTTTTCCACTCTGACATTTTCCCTTCAGGGTTTGGGTGGTTGTCTTTCATCAAGGCAAAGGAAATATTTTATTTATACAAATCCTGCACAAGAGTCAAATCCCCAAAGTTTGGCTGCCTTAATAACTTCATTGATGGCACCAATAACAGACTTAACCAGCCTCCAATAGAGAGCACTGTCTTAGGAGTCATCTCTGCTAGAACTCAGATCACCAACTTAGAGAGTCTCGG